GGACTTCACAACCTTATCTGGAGTAGAACTAAAAGCAAATAAAATGGTGTTATCGTCATATAAATGGATGGAGGCCTCACTAACAGAATATTAGGTATCATTTATAAATATGGAGAAATAGAAATATGCAAATAGTTACATGCATTCCTTCAAGAAATGTTGGGCCTTTAATTAAAAAAATTTTGGCCATCATTTCCTGTGTGTCTGTAGCAATGTGTTTATAGAATTTGCTGATATGTGCATTTAAAACTGTTGGCTGACTGAGTGTCAGTCTGTGACAAGCCGTGAGAGCTAGTCTTCTTTCTCGTCATTCCCATGGCCCACAGTCTCATGTTTCTTCTTCTCTTCTGTTGGAACCAACAAAATGCAGTTTCAGTTCGCTTTCAGTGAAAAACACAAACTGGTAACTATGAAATAATAAGTGAGTTAGGATGGCAGGTGCTGCTCAAGTGAAGATTTCCATCTTTTTTGTAAACTACTGAACATTTTAAAAAGCCACAGAATTCAGTTTATGTTTGGACCAGCCTCGGTTTGACAGTCCTGTTAGGTTGGTAATGAAGTGAGATGTCATATTTTGGAAAAATCCCACTGGGACTGTTCACGTTTGTCTTTTTGAAAACATTTTGAATTTGTTTTGAGTGATTTGAATGCGGTAGCATGGTGGCGCAACTGGTAGAGCTGCTGCCTCTCAGCGTGCAGGTCCCTGGTTCAAATCCCTGTCCGAGGGCCTTTCTGGGTGGAGTTTGCATGTTCTCTCTGTGCATGCGTGGGTTTTCTCCGGGTACTCCGGTTTCCTCCCACAGACCAAAAACATGCATGTTAGGCTGATTGGTAACTCTAAATTGACCCTAGGTGTGAGTGAGAGAGTGAATAGTTGTTTGTCTCGTTTGTCTCTATGTGGCCCTGTGATGGACTTGCGACCCATCTAGGGTGTACTTCGCCCCTCACACAATGATCGCTGGACATGGGCACCGGCGACCCCCGTGACCCAAAATGGAATAAGCGGGTAAAGATAATGGATGAATGGATGGATGGATGATTTAAATGCACGTGGTCAGTTCCAAAGTAGTTCTTGAGAATTTTGGTAAAAGACTGGCACGTGAGCACACAAACACACAGACCGGGACAAATACAATATCTCCTGCCTTCACATTTCTACAACAGCACTAAAAATCCAAATGACATGCAGGCGTTGTTTTTGGATGCATCTTGTATATTTCAGCTGCTGTATTGCAATCTATATTGCTATTCCAGTCCTAACTGTGGATGAGAATGTTTCTTCCTGCCCTGAATTTAATGCTGAGTGTCATGCCGACTGCACCCATGATTGCTAATTATTTATTGTAGCCTCGAGTTTTGTGGCGGCACGCTGGCTTCAGTCAAACACGGTTATTCTTCAGACATGGTTATGTGGTGCACAAAAACATATTCAGTCCCAGTCATCACTGATTTCTGTCAGAAGTCTGAAAAATCTTCATGTGTTGACAAGGTTTTTTTTTTTATTGTAGCCCTGAAGCCTTTTGTTTTCTTTTGTTTGTTCAAAATCTGTGCGTGCACTCAAACCCAGAGATGTTTTACATACATAACAAGTGAGAGTTACATAGCATTTGTTTTATTTTGCAGGCCTTGCATCAGCCTCCTCAGGAAGCATTTCCTTGAATTTGCTGGAAATTAATTGCAGTTGGTTCTCATCTTCACATCCAAAACACAGAGGTGTAGGCTTGGATGTTGACCTTTAGTGTTAAGAGGGGGTAGCATGTTTGACCCCACGACATAACTCTGTGCAGATTAGCCAAGACATCCCCTGAAGTGTAATTTATCCCTCTGGTGACACGTGGACTGCTTCATACTGAGCTGAGAGGGCCTAAATGGAAGTGTTCATTAGGACTAGATTGGTTGGGGGTCTAAATTTGTGTATAGGATACAAAATTAAGCTCAGACTGAGATGGCAAGTATTTATAAGTAAAAGTTCATTGGTAGAGATTGTAGTTTAAATTGATCTGCTTTCAGTACTTTGATGTCTTTCAAAGACACCACCACCAACTTTGTGTCCAAGTTGCATTTTTATGATTTTAATTCTCATTGGACTGAAACTGGAAATTGGAAGGGGATTGTGTTGTAAAACATTTTGAGTATTTTGATTAGATAGAAAGGTGCTATATAGGTACAGTCCATTTACAGTCCATCATGGCCACCTCAGCCCATGTTGTTGAACCCCCCCTGGCCGCCTTCTGCATGTTAATGATTAAATCGTCTGAAGTACACCTGAGAAATGAAGATTTGTATCCATATTTTTAAACGGTTGGTTATCCTCAGTGTGGTTTTTAATCCTAGATATGTTTCCTTGGGCAGCTGTGGCTGAGTGGTTAGAGCAGTCGTCTTCCATTGCGAGAGTTGGGGGGTTCGAATCCACCAGCAGTCACATGCTGAAGTGTCCCTGGGCAAGACACTGAACCCCTCATAGCCTCTGATGTGTGTCCCATCAGTGTATGAATGTGATCTAAAGCACTGATTAGTCTCTTTAGAATGATTTGTTCAATTAGCTTTGTAGAGATCTAGTAGAGTGCTGTATGAATGGGTAAATGAGGGCACAGATTGTAGTGTAATGTGCTTTGAGTATCTTGAAATAAGATAGAAAGGCGCTATATAAGTACAGTCCATTTACCATTTCCTGTCACAAAAGAGTTCCATGAAAATGTTCAAAACAGCTCCAGGTCAAATCATACATGACGTTTTAGTCACCACATACTTCAAACTTTTAAGTACGAAAAGAAGATGTCAAAAACGTTGTCAGATATTCAGAATTCTTGAACTGTGACCCATGAAAAGCAGAAGACTGATGGTCACACAGGAACTTGTATCTGCAGTGTTTTATGAAGGAAATATGACAAGTTTCAAAGACCATTCACCTCCTGTTTTGAAGACATGAAGTGTTTAACATAAATGCTTGACTGTGCTCTAGTTTCCTTCTAATGGGATCTACAAAGAAACCAATGGTCCTATAGCAGCGAGATGCACTGTGAAAGAAGACAACAATAGCTAGTTTTAAAGCACACAAAGTATTCACAGCGCTTCGTTTTATACACATTTTTTTATGAAATTCTTCACACAACACCCCATAAGGACTTGAATGTTTTTAAATGTTTACAAATTTATTAAAAATAGAAAACTAAGAGATCACATTTACGTAAGTATTCACAACCTTTACCATGAAGCTCAAATAGAGCTCAGGCGCATCCTGTTTCCACTGATCATCTTGAGATGTTTCTACAACTTAAATCACATCCACCTGTGGTCAATTCAGATGATTGGACTTGATTTGGAAAGACACACACCTGTCTATATAATGTCCCACAGTTGACATTGCATGTCAGAGCACAAACCAAGTATTTTTTGTAAATTGTATCCATGTCAAACGGCTAAAAGTTCCAGCACACTATTATTGATATCATCCATGTTTTTCATTTATTTGTTCATTTATTTGAACTGCAGGGCATAAAAATGTAGTAGAGGTGCTTCAGAGCTTGTGCGTTGACAGTCTTAGTTAAACAGTGGTTCTCCTTGTTGAAGTGTGCTTTCTGTTCTCTTGTCAGTGGAAGGAAAATATAGCTCAGGCTTTGGAGAGGCAGGTCTGTTCCAACTGCTGTTGACTCCTGTTGGCTCTGATGTCTTGTTTTCTGTGGGGTGGAAGGAGTGACAGAGATATGGAACACCACATTTTGTTTACTGACTGTTAATTCAATGTACAAGTGTGTGTTTGTGTGTGTGTGTGGGGGGGTCATCTTGATAGTCGTCAGATTGTTGTTGCCGTCACTGTGAGCCTGTCAGCACTCAGCTGGTACACAGCCCAGCATGCTTGAAGAATGTCGTCTACCAGCTTCATGTTGATGCTATTGTCTGTATTTTTTTTGTGTTGCAGTGCCTCCTCAGATTGTGGTGCGACCACGAGACCAGATTACAGCTCCGGGTCGCACCGTAACCTTCCTCTGTAGTACCAAGGGAAATCCTCCACCTGCCGTGTTCTGGCAAAAGGAAGGAAGCCAGGTGAGAACCTGCTTGTCACAACCATTACAGTGAACACTGAAGATGCTGTTTGAAGCATCTGACCGAATCTGAACTGCACCTTCAATCTGGGTCGGATACTCTTCAGACTTTTGTCTGTGTGATGAGTCAGTATTCCCACTCTTATTTTCATTTTTAAAGGATTCTTGTCTGTCTGTACACAACATGTTCCTTCATGACTGACCCTGGGGTCCTGACAGAGGTGTGCGCTCTCTGAGTGCTTCTAGTTTTGTGTTTTTATGGAGAGTCCCCCTCCATTCAGTATCCACAGCTTCTCCTCCTCCACCATAATCCTCAGCACTGGCTTCCCTCAGGGCTGTGTGTTGAGCCCTCTCCTGTTCACTCTGCTCACATATGACTGCGCACCTACTCATCCAGGCTGTCATACTGTAAAGTTTGCAGATGATACAGCGGTGGTTGGATGCATCACAAACAACGATGAGTCCAACTACAGGCAGGGGGTGGAAGAAGACTAAAGAGATGATTATGGACTTCAGACAGAACAAAAACCTACACCCCCCACCACCACCACCCCCCCAGAACATAGGAGGATCTGCGGTGGAAGTGGTCTCCATCTACAAGTACTTGGGTGTGCACCTGAACGACAACCTCAGCTGGGGCAGCAACACTACTAAGCTGATCAAGAAAGCTCATCAGAGACTCTACTTCCTCAGGTGGTTGAGACTAGCTGGTCTGGGAAGTGCAGTCCTCACCTCCTTCTACAGGTGTGCAGTGGAGAGCATCCTGTGCTCCAGCATCAACGTGTGGCATGGAGGCTGCACAGCTGCAGAAAGAAAAGCTTTGCAGAGAGTGGTGAAGGCTGCACAGAAGTCTGTTGGAGTCAACCTCCCACCATCACAGACATCTACACCTCCAGATGCAGTAAGAGGGCCACCTGCATCATGAAGGATCCTACTCACCCAGCACACACACTTTTTGCCCAGCGCCCCTCAGGAAGGAAGTTAAGGAGCATTAAGTGTAGAACCACTAGACTGAGGAACAGCTTCTACCCTGAAGCTGTTAGGCTCATGAATCCCTAACCAGGAAAATCACTGTAATGTCACTTTAATTGGAGAGTTGACATTTTATCCATGCTGCTGATTTCTTGCCTTAAGCCGCTGTATTCATACCCATCTGCTCACTACAGACTCGTGTTCAAGCTTCTGTTTAGTACACTGTACAACAGCTGTTTTATCCAAAACTACTACTTCGTCTTCTTCTTTCAGCTTTTCCCTCTTCAGGGGTCGCCACAGCGAGTCATCCTCCTCCATCTCACGCTGTCCTCTGCATCCTCTGTCCTCACTCCAACTACCTCCATGTCCTCTAACTGCATCCGTATGACCGTATATCTCCTCTTTGTCTTTTTCCTGGCAGCAGCATTTCTAACATCCTTCTACCAATATACCCACTGTCCCTCTTCTGGACACGTCCAAACCACTGTTCCTCCTCTGGACATGTCCAAACCACTGTCCCTCCTCTGGACATGTCCAAACCATCTCAGTCTGGTCTCTCTAATTTTATCTCCCAATTCGTCAACATTTGCTGTACCTCTGATGATCTCATTCCTAATCTTATCCATCCTTGTCACTCCTAAGGAGAACCTCATCATCTTCATTTCTGCAACTTCTAGTTCTGTCTTTTTGTCCATGTCTCTGTCTCCTGTCTTTTTGTCCATGTCTCTGTCTCCAGACCATACAACATAGCTGGTCTCACCACTGTCTTGTAAACTTTTCTTTTGACCTTTGCTGACACCCTTTTGTCATAAATCACTCCTGAATCTTTTCTCCATCCACTCCATCCTGCCTGGACTCTCTTTTTCACCTCTTTACAACACTCCCCATTTTCCTAGACATTAAATGGACTGTACTTATATAGCGCCTTTCTATCTTATTGAGATATTCAAAGTGCTTTACACTACAATCTGTGCCCTCATTAACCCATTCATACAACACTCTACAATATTTTTACAAAGACTAATTAGTGCTTTATAACATTCAAACATTGATGGGACACACTTTGGAGGCAATGAGGGGTTCAGTCAGTGTCTTGCCCAAGGACACTTTGGCATGTGACTGCTGTTGGAATCGAACCCTCAACTCTCGCATTGGAGGGCAACTACTCTAACCACTCAGCCACAGCCACCCTAAGTGGATCCCAAGTACTTGAAGTCCTGCACCTTTGTGACCTCTGCTCCTTGTAGCCTCACTGTTCCACCAGCCTCCCTCTCATTCACACATGTACTCTGTCTTACAGCTGACTTTCAAGGATTCAAGAATTCAAGGTTTTATATTTGTCATTTGCACCCGGGGGGCTGAGATGGTGTAGAGGCAGGGCAGCTGGCTCGGGACCCGAAAGTCCCAGGTTCGATCCCCAGTTACTGCATACCTTGTGGTGTCTCTGGACAGCACACCCTGTCCCCAAATGCCCCCCGGGTACCCTCAACAGTTGCCCACTGCACCACCTGGTGGTGGATGGGCTAAATGCAGAGACTAATTTCGCCATTGTATGGAAACATACAGTGATGACATTATTATTATTATTATGTTGTACATGTGGTGGAATGAAATTGTGTACACAGGGTCCCAGTTACATCCAACAAAAAAATGTACAAGAAAAACAGTAATAAGATCTAAGCTATTACGAAAAACATCAACTAAAAATACAGTAAGCACTAATAGCATAAAAATGTTACATCAAACAGCAGCACGAACATGAGTCTGTGTGAGCAGATGAGCACACATGAACACAGCAACATGAAACAGATCAGCAGCAACATGATGTGATTTTTCACAGTGATTATCCTGGTTAGAGATTCGTGAGTCTAACGACCTCAGGGTAGAAGTTGTTCCTCAGTCTAGTGGTTCTACACTTAATGCTCCTTAACCTCCTTCCTGAAGGGAGAAGGACAAAAAGTGTGTGTGCTGTGTGAGTGGGGTCCTTCATGATGCAGGCGGCCCCTCTTCCTGTATCTAGAGGTGTAGCTGTCTGTGATGGTGGGGAGGCTGACTCCAACAGTCTTCTGTGCAGCCTTCACCACTCTCTGCAAAGCTTTTCTTTCTGCAACTGTGCAGCCTCCATGCCACACGTTGATGCTGGAGCACAGGATGCTCTCCACTGCACACCTGTAGAAGGAGGTGAGGACTGAGCTTCCCAGACCAGCTCATCTCAACCACCTGAGGAAGTAGAGTCTCTGGTGAGCTTTCTTGATCAGCCTGGTAGTCAGTGTCATCTTCAAACATCATAGTCCACGGGGATTCCTGCCTGACCTCATCTGTTAGTCGGTCCATCACCAGAGCAAAGAAGAAGGAGCTCAGAGCCGATCCTTGATGCACTCCCACCTCCACCTTGAAGCTATCTGTCACTCCTACAGCACATCACACCACTGTCCTGCTGTCCTCATACATGTCCTGTACCAGTCTAACACACTTCTCTGCCACTCCAGAGTTCCTCATGCAATACCACACCTCCTCCCTCAGCACCCTGTCATATGTTTTATCCAAGACATACACCTTATTTATATTATATTATTATTGTTTAGCATATATCTTAGATCCTTGTATACTGTTTCTTTTTTTATACTTTATATTATCGCTATTTTTGGGTGTAACTGGGATGTTGAGTACACAATTTAGTTCCACCTCATGTAACATGATGCAAATGACAATAAAGAACCTTGACCCTCTTCTCACACTCCTGTTTTTCATCTAAAGTTGTGTACTGGTCTGGCACACATACTTTGTTCACCAGTGTGTGAAGTTGAACAGGGCTGCATGTCAGAAGTGTGTGTGTGTGCGTGCTTGCGTGCGTGCGTGCGCGCGCGTGTGTGTGTGTGGTGAGAGTTTGATAAGTGCTGCAGCCTGTTGGAATGCTCAGAAAGGCCTGATGAGAGGAACAGAGTGGGCGCCTGAAGCATGGCTCCCAGCTTTAGATTAGCGGAGGCCTGGACAGTTTGTGTGGGAGACATGTGGAGGGGATGGCTATGGTGGAGAAAGTGAAGAGGAAACTTTGTACAGTCGTACTTGTGAAGCCTTTATAATTTTCTATATTTCTGCATAAATCACCTAAAACATCATCAGATTTTCACACAAGTTCTAAAAGTAGATAAAGTGAACTTGGTTAAACAAATGAGACAAAATATTATACTTGTTAATTTATTTATTGAGGAAAATGATCCAAGAATACATATTTGTGAGTGGTAAAAGTATGTGAACCTTTGCTTTCAGTACCTGGTGTGACCACCCCGTGCAGCAACTAAATGTTTCTGGTAACTGTAGATCAGTCCTGCACACCATCTTGGAGGAATTTCAGCTCATTCCTCCATACAGAACATATTCAGCTCTGGATGTTGGCGGTTTCCTCACATTAACTGCTGCTTCAGGTCCTTCCACAACATCTGGATTGGATTAAGGTCAGGACTTTGACTTGGCCATTTCAAAACATGAACTTTATTTTTCTTGAATCATTCTTGGTAGAACCACTTGTGTGGTTAGAGTCATTGTGTTCCTGCATGACCCACCTTCTCTTCAGATTCAGTTCATGGACAGATGTCCTGACATTTTTCTTTAGAATTCTCTGATATAATTCAGAATTCATTGTTCCATCAATGATGGCAAGCTGCCCAGATTAGAGTTGCCTTCAGGCCCAAAAAAATCAGATTCGACCCGGCCCCAGCCTGCAGTAATAGTATCCGAACCCCACCCGACCCGACGAATTAACAGTAACAAGTCCAAACACAGATAAAAACCTGACATTTTGAATTAGTTATTAACAGTCAGGGATGCACAGCTGAATAAAAGGGGCATAAGATTAGAGCTGAGAGTGTAATGAGAGATAATATGCGTCTGATATTATCCACATTAATTTAAACGGATTCTTTCATTTTTCTGGACTGAGTACTATCGTGCCTTGAATGATTAAATGTGGACGGAAACGTGTTTTTATCTTTGACCCACCACAACAGTGAGTCGTTTAATTAAAAACGA